ATTTTGAAACATGCTCCCACTGGCACGCAGGGAGGCACTTTCACCTCATACCGCGCTCTGCGATGGCCTCACCGGTGGCCTCCTCCTTTTCTTTTCGATAGCTCGGTGCTGATCCAGCGGTCAACTCCGGGTTGGGACTCGAAGCAGCCGATCATTCGTTCTGCTCACTTTGGCGGTCGGAGGGCGTACCCGTACAGATACACCATCATGCTACTATTTTCAATGGGTTGCGTGTGTGACGGTGTGCCCATTCTCTCTGCCTCTGGGGCCCTGCCTGAGCGTGGATTTCGCTTGATGAGTAGCGCCGTGGATCACGACCGGCGGTTCCGTCCTTCTGGTGCAGAGTTTTCTTTTCTCTCTCGCTTCCTCCCTCAGCTGGCAGCCGGCGATGGCGTCCGTCATCTGGGTCAAGACTCGGAAGTGAGCAGGGAATCAGCGCCATTCGTCATCTCTTCCCTACAGAATACCCATTCATTGCCCCCTCATAGAAACTCCACGGCAGGGTCAAATCTCGCCTGCCGCCCCGGCAGCTATATCCAGGGCAGCAAAAAGTCCCAGCAGCCTGGCTCGGCTGGCATATGTGGCTGACGCCAGTACCATTCTATCCCAGTGCTCCGAGCCGCTAGGCCAATCAACGCGTGATCCGCCTGGCTGTCTCGGGGGTTCCCAATGGCATGGTTCCGGAATCTGATTCGTAAAAGAATTGCAGGCTCTATTTCCGATATGGGCTCTTTTTTGCCCTGGGGTTGGAATGGGAGGGGGGCTCTCATCAAACATCATAGCCGGGCCCCATTCCTGTCCGGTCGCTGTACTCCGTAACGTGAAATGATTGAGGCGCGACATTGTTTTCATCTTGTTCTTTTGCTGAGGGGGCAAGAGGTCGAGCGATGATGGGGGCGTGACTGCAATGGAGATTGACGTGGCCGATCGCGATGTGGATGTGCGTCAACACATCAGTCACCCCTTGACCCGCTGGCCTCGGAATATGCAGTGCTGTTCGAAAGAACGTGTGCCACGGATGACCGAGGAATGCGGGAGATGCAGTCCAGACTCCACGAGCGCTAGAAACAAGTATTTTCCCCTGGTCAGCCTCTTCGTGTCGTTACGCCAGCTGGTCTGGATCGTCAGAGTCTATGTTCTTTTCATGGAGCTGACCCGGGAATTTCGTCCGTTCCTCGTTCGGACCCATCCCGACGTCCTCCGTTCAAAAGACCGTGTGCTCGGAAGCAAATAAGCGGCGAGCTTGCGACTGTACAGAGTACGAGCATCCGTACATCATCCCACAGCGCAGTGCGATAGAAGAGACGGCTTTGTGGCTCGACCGAATTGCCGTCAACTGAGTCATTGCACAGCAAGCCCAGCCGGGAAAAAAAGAAACCATGTATGTGGGTTGATTACTTTCCCATCTCTCGCTTTCGCGCCGGCACGCTGGTTCGCCTGAACGGTTCGTCCCACCGCCCGCTGCCGTCCGCATCCGTCTGGTCTGCCACTGTGGGGAGAGCTATCTAGAAAGAGGGAGCGTGTGTGACTCTGTGATCATTAATGACACCGCCCGGCGGGAATATTGCCCCAGATGTGCCATTCTGCCGGCAGGATACATCATTCACACACCCTTGAACAGGCCGCTGAAACGCTGTCCTCGTACCGAACCTGCGAGAGAGGCGGACCTCTCCGATGTGTGCCTCGCCGCTGTCTCCGTTGATTGGTGAACTTGGCTATGCACGAATATCCATCGGGATCATATGAACCGACGCATCAAGGTTGATTGGTTTTGACCGGGTGCATTGCACCGAGATCGTCGTTTCGATCCTGTCGGTACCTAGGCGATGCAGACTGCAGCTTGCTGAAGAATGACAGGGGCTTGAGGGGTGGGTAAGGTAGGAGTACGAATCCTACCGTCCTCTGGCCTAGACTTTGCGGTGTTGACCGGTGATGCAGCGACGAGACCTTGCTTCACTTCTAACATGCCATAATATACCACTATCGGTCCTCAGGTATTATCGAGGGTGTGCTTAAGGTCGCCCCAAAGGAAATGTCTTCCCGTTCTAGATTGCTGAAGTATGCAGCCGCCCCGGCACGGCACAACTTCTCGGGTTACTCTAAGTCTCCTCGGCCATTTCTTACGATTGAAGCATTCGCGCACCACCGCCTTTGTGATCCACGGCAGTCAACCGGCACTCAATTTTCTCTTGCAAGATCTCTCCACCGTATCCCTCGGCTGAAGGATCGACCCACGCTGCCGTACGTTCGGGTCGCAGCTCCATTCGAGGCAGATTCAGCAATGATAGGCGGTATCTTCACCACTAGAGCAAGTCCACAACATGCGGGCAACACGTCTCCGCTTGCTAAGACTTTGGTGTAGCTCAAAGTCCCTGAAGATCTCTCAAATCCACAGCCAGATAGATGGGGCCCGAGGCTTGAAAATGGAGTAGTGATGCCCAACGTCTTTGGGCTGAAGAGGAGACGTGAATCAGAAAGCTGGGGACGGCGAGATTGAAAGACCCATCATTGAGGCGAATCGCCTGTGTCTGATTGCAAGAGCAATACGGGGTCTCTAGAATGATGGGCACAAGATGGAAATCTCCTATCCCGTGGAGGCTATGCTGTTTGACATGTTCCATCTCTGTCTGAAGATCGGGTCAAGGGTTGGGTAGCTCTCACAGCCTAAGCTCTCAAACGTGCATGCGATATAAGTTGGACTATGTAAATGCCATTGTGCATATGCCGCTTTTACATTCGACTTTATTCCTGGTGAAACGAAATGGTTGAGTTCGGTCCCTCATCGACCTGATAGGTCTGGTGACGCTTGTTGAGGAGATTGGGTTGCGATGTCTCCGGGCCGATGAATAGTCTGCCGTTTTCGGCTGTCGTGACTCGTATGAAGTCTTGGCCGATCAAGAGGTGATTACTCCGGACGGACACAGATCGAGACATTTGGGAACTTAGCTAGATTGACTCGTTCTCGTGTATATGTGTGATCCGGATCGTGAGTTTGGGTTTTGCGAAAAGGGGCTCCCGGTGCGCTCGCCGAACCGGCGAGGACGCCGATATGAACCAAACGAGATGACAATCACAAGACCTGTCACAACTGAACATGGAACCTAAAGCTCGGGATACCTAATTTGTTAATACGATGGTGTGCAATAGAATCGACCATTGCAACCCTCCCGCCGGAAGCAAATATCGGCAGTATTCCAAGCCTCAATCATCGACATCAACTCCGGCGGACTCTCAGTCATTCTCAAGTCCCGTTCATCCTGTCTTCGGGATATTCTCACCCTAGACGATTCAGCGCATGCCAAAAAAGGAATTGGGATCACGGCACACCATATTCAGTAATCTTCATCTCTAGACTCAGGAGAGGGCCTATTTGAAAATTGTCCATTGGAGAACCGACTTCGAAGATTCGTCAGAATGCATGAAGCCCTCCGATGCTACTGGCAAGCTCACGAGATACAGGGCGAGGCCCGTCATGTCCTCGACCAGGTCGAAAGCACATCGCTCTTCACATCCAGGCGCTTGTCGAACTTTTCTCAAGCATTTCATTTACCAATCGTCCGCGTAGATGCCCCTATTGCGAAGCCCCGCAAAGAAAGGCGTGCACAATCTCGATGCTAGAGACACCGCTGGAGGTACATTTGGACACAGGTGTTCGTGAAATAGGTTCATTATGGTTGAGACCTTAAGACAGCACCACATCGACCGAGTCCTTCTATCTAGCTCCCGTGTGCAAATCTGCTGAGCCGGTCAAGTCTCGGATTCCACAGCCGCCAGATACAGGAGACGAGACACGGTAGAGAATAAGTCGACCGGGTTCCTGTATTTCCCCTCATCCAGAATGAGTCATCTTGACTGGAGAAACTTCTCGACGTCGAAGCCCATCCTGAGTAAAGCCACACTTTTAGTGTCGACGCTGATGTAAAGTTGGGGGATCCGTTTTGAATACCATTAGACCATTCCATCCATTCTGGATATTCGCTCATGGGATGAAGTCCTCTGGCGCATGCCTCTTCGGCACAGGGCTCTTACAGCGATAGTGCATACAGACGCCTTCCACGAGAACTTGCTCTTGACGTGATAAAAGACCACGTGCCCAACAATCTGAGAGGCACGTACCGCAAAATGATGGCCTCAGATACCGGGGCAGATTGATCCTGTTCGATGAGTAAGTGCAAGCCGAAGCTAATTTCGCGGCCATGGTCAGGGCAGACAGTGCGTTTTATAGTGATGATCCTTTGAACGAGACCCTGATGGACAATGAGATATGGCTTGGGGAGTACAAGCGTGATATCGGCCATTATTTTCCCTGGATCAGCGATGTGTTCGAGACGACTTGCATCACCGTAATCTGCTAGCTTATATCGCAAAGACTCACATCGGCCTAGCTGGTAGGTTCTCTACAATTACTACAAAACGTCTTTCTGATGCACGCGATTAGCAAGACCTGTCCTTCATCTTGTCTACACGGACGGCTCCAGGAGTCCAGACACGGCATCACGCTCTCGCAACTGAAATCGGCAATGCTTTGTTTTTCTGTCTGCAAGACTTGGTTTTCTTAACGAAAACCCGGCAGAGTTTAGATTACTGACACGGAGAAGCCGATCACATTACCTTGGCTCGGTGGATACGAGGCTCCTAAGACTCGATGATCGCCGTCATGCTGCAGCCCTATCGTTTTTTGTGGTTTACCCAGTCTCACAGATTCTCCGTTGAACCCCCACCCCCAACACACTTAGCCCATACCAAATCAACAGCATCTGATTGGAATATTTTAATTTCATGACAGACTTTAAACGGCACTGATTAAAGGCAGGAGACAGAAGGGCGTAAAATCGAGCGTAGGGATCTGGCCTACGTAGTGATGCCGATCCCTGACATGTAGGTCAGTACAGTACCTAGTGTAGGCAAGATGTGGTTGGACTAGGGCCCTTAAACGAAACTTATAAGACACTTGTAGGGCGCGATTGACAGATCTCTCGTTGGCTTTGCCTAGGAGAAAGTCAGGAAAAAAGAGCTTCGATTAGGTACCCTATTCTTCTAAAGATAGGGTTCTGGTCATTTAAGCGATGACCAATGCAGCTCTGGCATGATCTTATCTATTAAATACACCCATAACCTGAGCAGATACGCTTGTTCTAGACTTTAGACAGCCTCTTAGACATATACAAGGCTCCATTGAGAGGGTTGTAGTAATAAGGGGATGTTTCTTGGAATCCCTCCGAAGCATAAAGTCTAACTGCAGCTTGCATCTTGGCCATGGTGTCGAGCAGAGCCTCGTCGTAACCTTGCTCCTCCGCGCGCCGCAGTACCTCATGGATCAAAAGTCTGGCCACTTGCTTGCCTCTCGCTTCCGGGTAAACGAAAAGTCGTTTGATTTCGCAGTATCGAGCGTCGGGTTGGCGGTTTAGAAGATAAGTTGGCTCGATACGCAGAGGCCGCATCGCAATGCACCCGAGGATGTTTCCGCTTGTCGAGTCTACGGCAAGAAGTAGTGCGCCGGATGGAAGTGAATATTTCCCCGGCAGATCGCTGAGCTCTTGGGTATAATTTTGGAAAGAGATATCTTCGTCCAGCCATTGCGTATACGCTTCCAAGCATTTCCTGGCAGCAGTCATATCGGTTGGGCCTGTCGCTTGTCGAAGGATGACCGACATCGGTACATCTTGGATGGCAGGATTCTGCATTATGAGTGGAGGATCTGGCATCTTTAGGTAATGAAAGACACACAATGTGACTGATGATAGATGTTGACTTCAGCAGCACTGACTCAAAGAGTTTAGCGACCCTTTTGTCCTGTCATAAAAGGCTTCTCTTCAAGATTGGACTTGTGTAAAGACGAAAAAACCGTAGTGGGCCTAGGCGCACGCATTGCCGATGTCAACCGCTAGAATAATCTAGACAGCTCTGACATTGGCTGGCGGTCCATGTTACACGAAGGCGGAATGCTGCTTGGTCTATGCGGAACGTACATGTACGCTGACCACTTTCAGTCCGAGATCGGTCCTACAGGCAGGGAATTTGCTAAGGCTTCCCAAGCGCTACGGCTCAGCTACGCAATGCGCACCTGAAGTCGTCCCAATTCTAGGATTGGATCAACTGGAGATTTCTTCCAAAAATAACGGGCGTACTGAATTCTCGGAGAGACTAGTGACTCAAATGCAACGCAATAATACGAGGCGAGTGAAACAATCGTGAACGCCATCTGGTGTGTGTTGTGGAATAAGACATTCCGGTACCTGGGTTATCGAACTTGTCGTCATCACGATAGATTATAGGCGAGTTCAGCGCATGTTATGACAAGGACCTTGACTAGCTATCTTTAGGTACTTTAGATGGCCATGATTTTAGTAGTGACTCTACAACTGACTGCAAACTACTAGCCCTCATGACATTCCCCCCCCACCCCCGTCTCGCCACCCATGATATGTATGACCATCAATTTGCAGCTATGTTTATACAAATTTCCAGGCAATTCATGAAGAACTTATTCATAAATTATACTCTATTATAGATCTCCGAGAAACAAGCTTAAAAGTCTTCTAGCCAACTATTTCCTATCGCTCACGGTCCAGTTGAAAGTGGCTCATCCAAGTAAGGATAGGAAAGCAATTCTTTTAAGGGTCCTTTCGGCGACATCGCAATAAAAAGTTTCTAACCTCTGAATGGACCCAAAAAATTCTATTGAATGAATAGATTTTGTTAAAAAAAAATGATTGAGGGCTAATCCCTCTTGTGTTTCTATAAAGATGATGCGCCTATCAGGCAGCAAACTCTAGTGAATGGGTATACTACCTTGGATAATAACTTGATAGGATGTGGGTCACTTGATTTAATCAATGAGCTCCAACTATCTCAAAATTACAATTTTTTCCAACTGGTATCTTCTTTATAATACCAAAATGACTGTAAGACTTTGCTTGAACCACCAATGTTCTAAGAAGGGCCCTGCTTGCGCCTTCAGGCCTAGATGCGACCGAAAGGTCTGCCCTATTGGCGAGTATACCAACAGCATTGGCCCAGAAGACCAGCTTCAAGATTCAACTCAGCAATTGAAGAGAGCACAGAGGTTACATGTAATTCTATTATACGAGATGGTCCGAGACCTCTTCGCTCTACGGCCGAGCTAGTACCATAACCCGTTCGCCATGTGGGACGAACAATTTGGCCTCAGAATAGACCCATGGAGGACGACAAAGGCCACACATTCAAGTGTCAGGCACTATAGATATTGCCAATGAGATCTTCATGAGCTCGGCCGAAGCGTTCGGACGTCGGTAGAGTCAGCGTGATGGAGATGGAAAGACGGAGCCCAGAGCCACCCGGTCGGCTGTGAGACAGTACCGAGATCTACGCTTATGTTGTCAACAACGCCCGCGTCTCGGGCCCGGCCGCGCTGCGAGAAAAAAGATCTCTACTTAGTATTGCCCCTACTCGAGGATGACTTGGGCCTTGAAGCCCTCCAAGATGGCGAAAAGATCACTCAAAACCTTCATAGTCTTACGGCTACCTTGCATTAGGCTTCTAAAAATACTTCAAAACATATAAGAAGCAAGCAATCCGTGGAAGGAAGAGGCGTTTTCAGTGGCCCGGCTACGTCAGTTGATGCCGTTGAGGGTGCAGGTAAACTCGCGTTCCGTACGGACCGGAGGATCCATTGACCTCCGGAAGGCCGACGGACTTTTCGCTTGCAGTGCCGGCGTTCCGAATGACACACAACTTTTTGCAACCCGCTCCGCACGGCTTACGCAGTCCGGTTAGTGTTTCTCTAGTCAACCAGTCAAGCCAGTACCGCCCGCCCATTCAGCCCTACACAAAAGCTTGTCGCGCGGGAAAGAAAGCTTGAGGCCATTTTTTGCCACCGAGACGCGAGATGAACTCGTTAGTCTGAACCCGTTGGCTGGAAGGCATGGTCATCGGCCGCGCGCGGCTTACTCTCTAATGCCGAGCGCGGCGCAGCGAGCGAGACGAGGGGTAGTTTTGGCTTGCTTACTACGCAAAAGACTGCATGCTCAGCGTCTCGCAGTGACGCCGCCGCTAAATATCTAAGTGTGTAAGACGGATACCTGAGTAGGACTATGTATGTCGAGATAACTTACCGGTCCTGGAATGTTAGACGATGCGGCTGGTCACAATGTTTGCCTGGCTTTCTTTGTTCAACTGTCGAACAGTATATAACTGTCTCGGTCCCAGACATCGTCTCAACTTTCCTAAACCTTCAAGTCATTATTTGAGCAGCGTATTTCCATTTTCATCATCTTCAACAAACCATCTCAGAGGTCAAGCCCATCAATCACGCCTAAACACAATGCACGCAGCCCTCGTCAACACCTGGGGCTCACCCCCAACCTACACAACCGTTCCGGACCTCCCAGAACCATCCCCAACACAAATTCGCCTTCGCGTCCTCGCAACAGGCGTCCACCGCCTCGTCCTCTCACGCGCCTCGGGAAAACACTACACCGCCTCCACCCTCCCTCACCTTCCCGGCGCAGACGGCGTAGGCGAGGACCCGACTACCGGCCAGCGCTACTTCTTCGCCGCCCTCGCGGCAGGCACCTTTGCGGAATTCGTCAACGTCGAGCGAGCCGCTGCATCACCGCTTCCAGAGGGCGCGGACGCTGCTGTCGTCGCTGCTTACATGAATCCCGTCATGAGTAGCTGGATGGCGCTGTCTGCGCGCGCGACGCCACAGCAGAAGGGCTTCTCTGTCGCGATTTTGGGGGTGACGAGTGCCAGCGGGCGGGTGGCTGTTGACGTTGCTCGTGCTAAGGGTGCGGGACGCATTGTTGGTATCGCGAGAAATGCTGCTGCCTTGGAAGAGATTCCGATCGACGAGCGCATCGTACTCAATGGTGAGGAGACGGACTGGTCGAAGCTGGGCGAGGTGGACGTTATATTGGATTACGTCTACGGCAATCCTGTGGTGGAAATGCTCAAGGCACTGCCCAAGTCGGAGAGAGAGGTGCAGTATGTACATATTGGCTCCGTGTCTGGCGACGGGGACATTTCTCTCCCTGGGGCCATCTTGCGAGGGAAGAGGGTTGCCCTCCGTGGTGCTGGGCCGGGCAGCTGGCTCATGAGGGAGTACGCGAATGAGCTTGGTGGAATGGTTGGTGTGGCTTCTGGGTTGAAGGGCAAGGAAGTCAAGGTGATTGCGATGAAGGATGTTGAGAAGGGATGGAGCGAGGCAGGACTGGGCAAGACGCGTGTTGTGTTTGTGAGCGATGATCTTGTGAAGTCGTCTTGATCCTTGATGGACTATGAGTAGCGGGGTGGGCACAAAGATACCTTATCATATTGTCAAATTGAGATGGATCTCTCACTATGTTAGCTAGAGTATTCAATACGCGTCACAAATCAAGACAGTTTTCATCGCTTTTGGTGCAGCTTAGATTGACTATCTAGACAACTTATTTTTGTGCCAGCTAGATACCTAAAGCCAAGCCCAATCATGCTGCAACTTTCGTCAGAACTCAAACACGAAAAGCCTTCGGATCGGGCAACTCACAAGTAAACCACGGTGCACCAACGGCAGCCGCAACAGCTTGCGCCACGAGCTTCTGAATCTGCACGCCAGGGTGGTAGTCGTTGAACCACAAGCAACTAACACCATCGGCATTGTAGCACGTGGCGTCGGGAGCGCCGTAGGCGGTCGGGTTGTTAATGGCCTTGTCGAACGCGGGCGTGGTATCGACGACCCAAGACGTGATGCCGGAGTTCTTGGCCTTGAAGGCGGCGAGGTTGCTGGTGATGAGATCATTGTACTGCTTGATGGCAGCGGCGAGCTGGGCGTTGGAGTCGGCGCCGTTGGCGAGCATGAGGGGGGTCTTTTGGGTTGCTGTATAGATGATGTTATCAGTTTGATGTGCGGTCTCTGCGAGGGATGCTTTTGGTGACCAGCCAGCGTCGAACTTCTGGCAGTTGTTCCAAATGAAACGGACAGAGAAACGAGGATAAACTCACGCGGAACACCAAGCAACACAAACTTCCTCACACCAGCATCATACAAAATTTGCAACTGATCAAAATACCGTCCCAAAACCTGAACCAACAATGCCTCCCGATTCGAAAGCCAAAACGCGTTTCCCACATCATTAACACCCATCCACACGCCGACGAGGGTATTATCCGCCGTCCACGGCGCCCAGCTCGGCTTGGACGCCAGGCTGCGCGAGAACTCGGCCACCTGGTCGATGAAGCTGAGCACCGTGGTGGCGTAGGGCGCGATGAGGCTCGCATCCGTGGTGGCGCCGCCGTAGGCTAGGTTGTAGGAGTAGGTCAGGGAGGCGTTGAACTGGGTGACCATGAAGCCGACCCAGTCGAGGCCGCCTGAGGCGGTCCAGCCGGGCAGGTCTGGGTTGCCGAGGGGGTTTTGGGGGTTGGGTTTTGTGGAGTTGATGTTGAAACCTGTTTGGGAGTAGGAGTCTCCGCTATTTGTCTTGGTGAGCGTCATTTCTTTTGCTTCGGAATATGTATACGGTATGACTTACAAGGTGATAAAGTACTTTGGCCCGGAAGGAGACGGAACGGAGGTGGCCGTTGACGTCGGGGCGCGGGATGAAGAGGTGGAGCGGACGGAGGAGGTGGTGGTCACGGCGCGGGTAGTTGAGGCCGGGACGCTGGTGGCTTTGGTGGAAGAGACAGCCGGCGCCGTTCCAGGAACACATTGGTCTACCGCCAGTCAACTTTGGATATCCAACATCCGTTTCCTCTTCCAATCCATGGTTTACTTACAGTACCAAGCATTCTGGGAGGAGCAATACGCTCCAGAAGCGCAGCTAGTCGAGCCCGTCCATCCTGTACCGCCGCACTGTCCCCAAACGGGAGCTTGCGCGTTGGCGGTGAGGGCCAGGCCAACAGCGACGAGGACGGATGCCGTGATGCGAGCCATTGTTGTGGATTGGGATTCCAGAGGGAACAGACCAACACAGCACAGCCAAGGACCCAAGGGCGGGTGATAAGGCAGGTCGTCTTTATATAGGTAGATACGAATTTGCCTCCCTCTTCCTTGATTGCTACATCAACCCATCCCGCTTTCAGCGTCTCTGGTGGGAACCTCCATCCGTGAACCCAGTCCAAACCGGGAAGTTGGTCGAGCGGTGCTTCCGAAGCCACGAGCTCTCAAAGACTCGTTTAAACCTGAGGGAGTTCCCTACAGTCATTGGCGGGAAAAGGATCGACGGTATCTAGGGGACCCCTCCCCTCCGTGGTTCGTGCGGAGATTCATCTCGTACCTGGGAAGAAACGGCAAGCTCGCAGGACCCAGGTCCGCGGTTCGCTCTGGTAAACAACCGAACCATACGAGCAAACTGTTGAACATTGAACAAAGGAGGGGAAGAAAGCTTGAGAAGCACACTTGACAAGATGAAAGTGGATCATGGTGGGCCGGTAGGCCGGGTGGTAGCGTGGTTGTTGATGCGGGGACGCGGAGGGAGGGCATCCCCGACCCCAAAGAGGCAACGGGTGGGTTCCACATTGGATGTCACGGCCGGATGAGCGGGATCTCCTTGGACGTTGGATTTTGGACGGTCGTTTTGTCAGGTGTCTAGCCCGAACGGTTAATTTGCCAATCTGTGGGTTCAGAAAGCTTAAGAGTTTTGTGGGATGAGATGTTTTGATCCTTGATTCACCTTGGTGGGCAATTCACGGTCCGTTTCTTGACATTCATTACTTGCTCAACTACGGATGATGCGTGAAGGCTGCCCGACTCATGGAGAGTATGAAGACTTCATCATAGCGAGATAGAAAAGATCACGACTTCATAATGGGAACCACTATTGTCAAGAATGCAATCATTCAAGTGACTCTAACAGACAGCTATAGATATTCGTAGGGACAGTGGTATATCTCAAAAGCCAAAAAACCAAATCAAACATGAAGCAAAAACAAACGACTTGACGTGGCAAGTCACCGACCAAATTCCAGTAGATCCCAACCCCAAAAGCTTTTTCCCATCCAACATCGAGAAAGCCTTCCTTCCAGCCCAATACACCAAATCATACAAACAAATACAAAAAGATATCATAGCTAAACATACTTGACAAAGAAACACACAATTCTTTTCCCAACCGCATCATCAAATCCATCCACCCATCGAACCCCAAGCTGGCATGTATAGAAAAGCAAACGCAAAACCAAATAAAAAGCAGCGCAGACATGATGGTATATAACATATTCCCAGAGGAAGTCTCGTAAGAAGATTGGACAGCCCTTCTTAGTTCCCCTCTCGCTCTCGGGTCTAGCCCGTAGAGTCTGACATCGGCATTTTAAGCCTTGTTCTTCTCCTTGATGTAGCCATCGGCGACTTCAAGACACACTAGAATCATAAAGTCAGTCTTCGTTCAACAGAGGATAAGCAGAAAGGAAGGGAGAACTTACACTTTGCAACACTCGCGCTGCCCAGGATCTTCATCACGGAAACGTCCCGCTCAATCACCTTCCAAAACCACCCCCTCACCTCCACAGCAACAAGCGAGTCCATGCCCAGCTCGCCGACGCTGTGCTCTCCCTTGACACTGCCCTCTCCCTGTCCGAGTACAACCTCGAGGTACCGCGCGAAACCCTCAGTAAGCACGGTCGCGACCTCTTCGGCTCCGCCCTCGACAGCCTTGATCTTCTCCTTGAGACTCTGCTTGCCCTGGCCCTCGCCCTCGGCACCCTCGTCGTCATCCTCAAATGTGAAGTGCGAGAAGCGTGGGTCGATCTGCCAGTGCAGTTTGTCCTCGCGGTTGGCGTTGTACCGGCTGAGACCAGTCGTGATATCGTAGATCTGGCCGTCGAGGGGGCGGCCGGCAACGATAGCCTCGAGGAACATGTGGTGGATATCGCGCTCCGAGATGGGTGGGTAGCCGTCCTTCTCGAGGAACGCGTAGATGTCGGTGCGCTCACGATGGAGAAGGCCAAGGCCGTAGATGACGCCAATGTTGAGCACTGACCCTGCCAGGCCGCGGATGCGACGGTTGGCGGCGAGACCGTTCATATACATGTTGGCTGCGGCGTAGTTGGATTGTCCGCCGTGACCACCAGGTGCCGCAAATGACGAGGTCATGATGAAGAACTCCATGTCAGCCTCGCAGAAGATCTCGTCGAGGTTGCTCGAGCCAACAGTCTTGGGACGCATAACCCTGTTCCAGGTCTCGACATCCATCTGCGCAAACACGCGGTCGTCAAGAACCATGGCACCGTTGATGACACCAGCAACAGGCGGCATCTCCTGCGCCAGCCTCTGCTTGAACGCACGCACGCTCTCGATGCTGGTGACGTCGAGCCTCTCGATGCGTACCTCGCACCCCTTGGCGCTGAGGTCGTCGATCCACTGGGGCTGCATGTTGGGGTTGCGGCTGGCGAGGACGATGTGGCGCGCGCCGTGCTCGAAGAAGAGGTTGCACAGACTCTGGCCCATGTCGCGCGTCAGGCCGACGAGGACGTAGGTCTTGTACGGGCGGAGGAGCTGGGTGCCAAAGAGGGGCTTGGCGATGTGCTGCACCTCGCGCTCGGCGCGCCAGTCGAGGATCTGGAAGGGCTTGCTGCTGCCGGTGTGGTCGAGGAGTTGGGGGACGGAGATGGAGTCCAGAGCAGGGAAGCCGATGCGGCCGTTCATGCTTCTGACATTGGTGATTGCCTTTCCGATGGCCGTCTCCCAGAGGTGCTCGATGTCCATGGAGTCACCGAGGGCAACAACATGCTCCGAGGTCAGGAGGGAGAAGCGAGAGTGGTACTCGCAGTTCTCGGGAAGGCAGTCAAGAATCGTCTCGGAGAGCTCGCTACCCTCGGGAAGGAAGTCGATGACGGAAGCACCATCGGCAGGGAAGAGTGCCTTGAGTTCGCGGTTGCTGGCGTAAGGGTGGATGTAGCGCTGGCCAAAGGATTTGCGCTTCGATCCGTTGGTGGTGCAAGCAATGACATTCGCACCCTTTGCCTCAAAGACCTCTTTCATGCACTCCAAGAGAGCGGCGTCGGGCTCCAGGAGAAGCACAGTCTGCTCCATCATATCTTCGGCGACGGACAAGGCCACAAGATATCTGAGGACGAGACCCAGGAGGAGCTTAGGCTCAATATTGCTACTGCTGAGCTGGAAGACGCAAGAGTTGGGAACGGTGACGTAGGACGAGTTGGACTTGGTCATGGCAAGGCATAGCTCGCCGGATGTGACCTCCTTTCCAATGCAGACATGAGAGGCGTACTTGAGTCCAAAGTTGATGACCTCGACTGAGCTGTACTTAACTTGGATAACGCTCTGATCGGGAATCGCCACGGCGTCATCAATGTCGGTCTCCTCAACAATGTTGGCATTGTAGACGGCAGAGCCATCGCCAGACTGGGCAGAGACAACCTCGACGCATTGCTTGAGAGTGTTGACCTCATCAGCCACAAGTCGGCGAGGGCAGTTGACGCGGTCGTTGCCCTCCTTCCAGGGAAGAAGACGAGGAATGAGCCTCTTGCCATGCTCCATAAAGATCTCACTCTCGTGAGACCAGAGCAACTTGCCATCCTGGGCAGCGCTGCGCAGCGCCTTCATGCTGAGACGAAGGAAGGTCTCGGCGACGAGGTCGCCCGAGTCACGACGGGAGTCGAGGTCCAGCATCTGGAGCTTCAGACTGGGAATTTCAGCAAGCATGGAGCGACAGAAGCCGAAAGTCGCCGCGTGCTCAGGGTTGCCAGCGCGCGAGTTCATGGTGACCCAGAGGACTACCTTCTCAGGTGCCATCAGGGCACGGAAAAGATCAAGACGCTCGGGTGTCATGGAGCTCATCATGGGCTCATCCAAATCAGCAAGGAAGATGACGGAACTGATCTCGTTGAAGATGGCAGGTTGAAGAGAGTCCAAGTCGGCGATGATGTCGATGCTGCTGCACAAGGGGTCCAGTTTTTGGTGCACCTCGGCAGACAGGTCGGCCGTGTTCTCCTGGGCACCGATGATGAGAGTGTGGCCCATGACCTTGGGAACGGAGCTGTTGAGGGGGCTAAGAGCAGCCTGCTTAATATCCGACTCAGCCTGTCTGACGATAAGGGAGAAGTCGGGAGCGAAGAATTGCTCGGCGTTCTTGGAGACGCGCGCAAAGCCGCACTCATCGAGAAGGTCGGGCCACTCGGGAGGAGTAAGCGGCAAATCAGCCTGTCTCCTCACGCCAAAGGCGCGACGAAGTCTGTCACGAAGAGGGCTCATGGACTCGTGAATGAGGATGAGGAAACCACCAGGCTTCATGAGGCCCTGAACCTGCTTGAGCTTGGAACGCTGCTCAGCACCCTTGACAATCGACGTTGTCAGGACGACCATGTCAAACGGCTGGAGAGACGAGTTGTCTTCCTTGTCAAGGACCTTGGTGTGCTCAGTATCAATCTTCTTCTTGGTCGCGTCAGACGAGATCCTCGCCAGTAGATCCGGCTCATTCTCGTTGCCCAGCGTGTAGGAAACGAACGAGCCCTTGAAGCCATCAATGACATGCTTTGTGAGCGCCGTCTCGGGGTCGGTCAAACCGAGCACCCGCATGCGAGGGTATCGGTGAGCGAGCTGGGAGACAACACGGCTGACATGGGAGCGGAAGCGATGAAGCTGCTTAGCCTCCTGGATGATGGTCGAGAGCATCGCAGGGAGGACATCGGGGATATTCTCACCGAGCAGCCGGATGAAGCTGAGGGCGTGCTGGAAGGGAGACTGCAGGATGTAGGCATCCAGTGTCTCGGCAGTGTCCTGCTGCCAGGGGCTGGGGGTAGCCTCGGATGATCTAGCCTTGGGAGGCGACATGGGTGTGGCTGGCGGGGTGAAGAAAACAGGTGAAGACGAGAGGTCCTTGAGCGAATCATCGTGGATGTAGAAGCGCGCGACTCTCTCACAGGCCTCGAGCAAGATACGCTCGGTAGCAACGTCCTCTTGGCTCAAGTCGGCAGCAATGATCTCATGCTCAGGATCCAGATCACACACTGTGGTGAGATAGAGTTCCTTGTCATCCTCAGGCTTGGAGTTGGCAAATGAAGCGACCATGAGGCCCTCAACCTGGATCTCCATCTCGCCGTCGGGGTTGTAGATGCTCATGTCACCAACAAACTTGGTCGTCGCGGTCTTAGTGCGAGGAATCTCCTGGGTGATGACCGAATCGACAACCAGTGATGCGTTGTCGGAGGGCTTACCATCACAGAGCGCGAGGTTGAAACGAATCTTCTCGATGCTCCTGGGGAGGAAAGAAGTCCAGAGAGACTTGTCACCGGGCGACGCCACAGCGGCAAAAACGGAGTGGAAGCAGCTGTCCAGAGTGGCAGGGCTGACTCCGAGTCCAGTAGTGTCGGTGTTGTGGAACTTCTGGAGCGTAGCTGAGCAAAAGTTGTATCTGCGATCAA